AAACAGCTTCCAGTTAAATAAATAAATGAATGAATGAGTAGATTATCCACTATTTTAAGAGATACGGAGCAGACGGTCACTTCTGGGGCACGTCTGGAACTGAAAGCATTTTCTCAAGCTGGTGAGGTCAGTGCTGGAATGTGGTGCAGCTCTTCTCAGTGTGTTTCTGGGAAAAAACTAACGATAAAGTAGTAGCTTGTTTGCATTTACACCATGCAGAAAGTGGCTTTAACACTGACACAACTGGTTTCTCACAGGGAGAATAAATATCAGTTTTATGTATTTATTGGTAATATAGCAAATCTATCTGCTTCTTTCACCTGCTTTGTTTAAATTGGGGTGATGGCACTTCTGTTTTCTTTACACTTAGCCTCCTACATAATCCGACGCTGATAATTTTGCTTAACTCCTTTGAAAACTTTTAGAAAGTTAGCAGGAGGTCAGGTGTGTTTCCTCCTGCTTACAGTTGGGAAAAGGACAATCGAGTGCAGCATCTCTCATTTTTCATCTAAGATATTTTTACCTGCTTCTCACAGGCGAGATTCACAAACTGTTTTCCCACTTGAAGAGGTACAAGAAGGCAAAACAAGGCGAACGCCAGCAGAGAAGGGATGAAAGGGTGGGTGAGACAAGGGGAGGAATGGTAACCGTTCCAATTAGCGGGCTGGAGAAAAGAGTAGTGCTTTTACACGGCAGCTTCTATCAAATCAACCGCCCCCGGCTCAGCGGGAAAGAGCTGCTCAAAATGGATTTGCTCCTTTTATCAAGCCCTCCATGACACTTAGTTAAGACTCCTTTGCCTCTATCCTGCCACTGATATGTGCCACTTTGAGCTGGTGTCTCACTGACATTATTAAGAGTGAAAGTTTCAGGAACTTGGGAGAAAGCTGGAACATTGTGTTGGAGTGGATTACGTCATGACAGTGTTGGCTTTTTCCAAAAGTTAGAGGAAAGAAGAGATCGTTCTTTTCAACTTATGTTCTTCTTCATCTTTTGTTTTCTTTTCTCTCTCTCTGCCCCCTTATTTTTTTTCTGCAACAGGCTGGGTTTAAAGCATTCATTCCTCACCAGCGTCCCTCTGGGAGTATTAGCATCGGCTGCTCAGTTATTGTGAATCCAAATTGGACAAAGGAGTCAGGTTTGAGAATGCAGCTGACAACACTATTCAGGGTTCTTTGTAAGTGCCACAGAAATGTTCAGCACAGCCTCACTCTGTGCCTTCCAGGCAACTGAATCATTTAGAAAGGTGAGAGGCATAAAATGTGTGGCAGATTAAGAAGTATTCAGTTCAGTCCTTTTAATGGTGTGTATCTGATGTTTTATTTAGACTGTGCATTCAAAAGATTCCTCTCGCAGAGCGTATTATACTCACGAGGGCAGCTGCATCAGACCTGTTTGTGAGGCTGACAAAGAAGTCTGAAAAATTTCAAACAAAATCATAATAATGACAAATTTACAGATCGAGATAATACTGATAGAGTTAGGATTGAAGATTAAACATTAAGACTCACCTGGTATTGTTACA